GATCAGGAAGATGCTTGATCAATATGATTTGTTCTAGCTCCTCGACCGTTGGCTTTATTGCATCAGAATCATCGGGGGTTATGAAGGTTTGAGGTATCATATAATCTTCATCCTTGAAGACCTCTTGCTCCTCCGATGGGGCCGAGGCCGATGCATGTGGTTGCTATTTGACTTCTTGTTTTCCCTTTGACTCCGATCCCTTTGTTGACGAAAGTGCCGATACAGGTACTACTTCATCGATTGCAAACTCTTTGGCGGCAGGTTGTTCGCCGTACACCGTTTTGATTCCTTCCGATGTTGGGAATTTCAAGACTTGATGATGCGTTGAAGGTACTGCCCTCGTATTATGAATCCAAGGTCTTCCGAGCAGCGCGTTGAATCTCATGTCACCTTTGATTACATGGAACTTCGTTTCTTGGATAGTCCCGACCATATTTACTAGCAAAATGATTTTCCCTTTAGTGGTTTCACTTGCCATGTTGAAGCCATTAAGTACTCGAGTTGCAGGCACGATTTGATCCTCGAGGCCGAGTTGCTCTATGACCCTCGACCGAATAATATTTGCCGAGCTACCTTGATCAATCAACACACATTTAGCTTGAATTTTATTCATAAGGATAGATATTGCTTGGGTGTCATTGTGAGGTTGTTCGATCCCTTCTGCATCCTCATCGTTGAAAGACAAGGTATCTTCTGGTAAGTAGTCTCGGGTACGTTTCTCTCTTGTGATTGCCACCTTGGTGTGTTTAAATATCGGGCCTTGAGGAATATCGACCCCACCAACGATCATATGCATCACGTGATATGGTTCTTCCTGTTCGTTTTTCCTGTTTGCATCCCTGTCTCTAAAGTGATTTTTAGCTCGGCCACTCAGGAAATCTCGAAGGTGACCCTCGTTGAACAAACGGACTACCTCTTCCCTTAACTGTCTGTAGTCTTCGATTATGTGGCTATGAGTTCCATGGTATTTGCACATTTGATTAGGGTTCCTCTGAGCTGGGTCGCTCTGTAGAGGTCTGGGCCACCTAGTATCCTTGATTCATCCAATGGCTGATACAATATCCGATATGTCGACGCTGAAGTTGTGTTTTGATAACCGTGGCACTTCTTTCGGGTCGACATGTTTATCGAAGCCACTCTTACTCATAATCCCTCGAGAGTTTTGTCCTCGATCATTCCTTCGATCATTTCGAACGGGCTTACGTCCCTGTCCATTGTTTCTACGATCTGTGTTGTACGTTTGGTAACGATCTCTGTTTGACCAGGGCTCTCTGTCGATGTCCCTTTGAACTCTACCGTCGGATCTATTTGGGTAGACGGAACCGGAAGGGGATCCTAACTAATCACCCTCGACCCTGATCTTTGGCTGGTATTGATTATGTACATCGGCCCAGGTCACAGCTGGATATTCAATCAAATTCTACTTTAGTTGTCGTGATGCTATCGAACTTCGCTCGTTCAAACCTTGAGTGAAGGCTTGTGCAGCCCAATCTTCGGTGACAGGGGATAGGTCAATGCGTTCTATCTGGAACCGAGATACGAATTCCCTTAGCATTTCATTGTCATTTTGTCTCACTTTGAAGAGGTTCGACTTCCTAGTTGCGACCTTTATTGCTCCGGCGTGTGACTTTACGAACGAATCAGCAAGCATGGCGAAGGAATCGATGCAATTGGGCGGCAAATTATGGTACCATATCATCACCCCCTTCGATAAAGTTTCTCCAAACTTCTTCAACAGAACAAATTCAATTTTGTCATCTTCTAATACATTTCCTTTTATTGCGCATGTATAAGAAGTGACATGCTCATTAGGATCAGTGGTTCCATTGTATTTGGGAATTTCTGGCATGCGGTACTTTTTTCGAATGGGCTTCGGAGTCGCACTTGGTGGGAAAGGCTTCTGCACAAACTTCTTCGAATCCAAACCCTTTAGAATCGGGGGTGCCCCCGGTATTTGGTCAACCCGTGAATTGTACGTTTCTACCTTCTTGTCATTAGCCTCGATTTTCTTTTCTCCCAATTCGATCCGTTTAGTGAGCTCCTCGAGCATCTTCATGATGGCGGGGTCAGTTACCGATCCATTATCCTTCGATTTCTTCGGTACAGGTTCGACCCTATGAATAACTTCCTGTGATGTATCGAGCTCAATTCTGCTTGGTGCTCGATTTTGATTTTAGAGCTGCAGTATCGCAGCTTGCTGAGTCTACAACATTTCAAATATCATTAAAAGAATAATCCCACCTTCTTCACCGCTCTGTGCATTTTGATAGGCTGCCCGGGCGTCTCTGCGGACGCTATTTTAAGGATCGGCGCCTAAATTTCGATGAATGGCAACACGAGAACTGACATCGACTAGATCTATGGCCGATGGTCCATCGGGATTGAATGGAGGTACTTCGTTTCCCAGGGCGACTATGTTCTCATTCTCGCCATGAAGACCAAGGCCGGTGTCTGTGTGAGTGGGTGCTGCTTAAGAGTTTGACATATTCATTCCTGAAATCAAAGACACTTATGAAACAAGCGTAAATCAGTGTGTGTTATGAGGATTAATACTAGGCAATCACTATTATCCTTAGCCCTACGGTGGGTGCTAAACTGTTTACTCTAAAAATTAGATAACAATTAAACTTATAATGTGATTTTAAGGACACGTGATTTTACCTAATATCAATTGATAAACATAGAAATTAGCAGTAAAGATCAACAATGAGATAAAGCAAACCGGACTTGAAAATTCAGCCCTTGAGCTTAGGTGCCCTCGAACTGATCGGTGCCCAAAATAGTTAAGAAGCAAAATGATGAACAAGAATATAAGCTAGAAAGTATTGTATTGCTTTGATATGCGCGAATGTAAGATGGTTACAAGATGATTAGGACCCTCATTATATAGTAGAGGAATCCTATTTATGGTACAATTCTAATTACGGAAGTTATATCCCATGATTAACTAAATAACCGCCCTTGATTTGATCTGTTCCGAGATTTACTCCATGATCTTCGGCCACTCACGGATATCTCGCATTTCTGTTATTGTGCTTTGCTCGATGTCTGTCTCCTTTGGTCTCAATCGCTACTGGCCTCGATCTTTGATGAGTGCCTGGGTCCTCGAACTCGGTGCCTTGTCCTCGTACCTCGATCTGGTCCGTTGCGAGGCCGACCTTCGATGCAATTCCCTTGCCTCGATCAAATAGTAAAATCATGTAAGCCCGATTTTAACCGTATACAAATATATTCTTTTATTCTTTGTCAAGATAACTTGTCTAAGAAACACTAAACTAGTGACTATTCTAAGTACTGGATTTAAAGCTTTGAAAGTCGTAACAATTTTGTTTTTTTCTCTTTTTCCCTCTTTTTGTTACTAACTTTTGCTGAAGTTCTAGCTTCCATATTTGTGGTATATTTAGTCGTGAATAACATTGCTTACGGCCTGTTTGGCCAAGCTGCAAAAATCAGCTTACTTTGAGAAGTGTTTTTTTTTAAATGCGTTTTTCTCAAAAGTACTTTTTGTGGGAAGTAATTTGTGCTTGACTTATTAATTTGAAAAGCACTTCTGAGCAGCAATTAGTGTTTGGCCAAGCTTCTAAAAACTGCCCCTAAGTGTATTTTTCTCAAAAGTGCTTTTCAAAAAAGTACTTTTGGAGAAAAGCTACTTTTTTCTGCTTCTCCTCAAGAAAAAAAAAAAAATCTTCCAAAAGCTTGGCCAAATACTTCAACTTTAAAAAAAAAAAAAACACAATTTTTTTTAAAAAAAATACTTCTAGGATTGGAGAAGCTTGGCCAAACAGGCTATTAGTTGTATTCGATCCTGTGTTTCATACTAGCTAAATGTGTCACTCATTGCATTATGATATGGACCTCCCAACTTATTGGGATTTCTGTATTATTAGTCTTTACTTTTTCATGGAAAGAGAGAGGGAAACGTTGGGCATTAATATTTACGAGTTCAACGATATTCTGTATTTTGAATTACAATTTTAAAAGTACAATGAATTTAGTGTCAATAACTTTAATGGTTGAATCCTTCAAATTTAAACTATGCAAGTTACATATAGACCTAGAGAGATATCTCAACTAATTGTAACTATTAAAAGTCAAGAGAGCGTAATCTATTTGACAACAACAATTAAAACATATGAGCTCATTCGTGGCGTCACAAAGGAGTCCCAATCCTGTTGAAAAAAGAGATTTTCCATCTAATAAGTAAACGCAATTCTTCAGTCTAGAGCAATGAATTCCATGACCAGTCACTTAATAATCTTGTTTAGTTGTAGAGGAAGTTTATGAGTAAATCAACTCAAGACTAGACTCAATGACCAGACTCCCAGAAGAAGATGCTTCTGAACTTGCTAGAATTTATCATCTTAAGTCTACAAGTATCGTTTGGTTTACAGTCTAATTATGTGGAAATTATACTTCAGGAATTGTTTAAGAGATGAATAATAAGGCATGAATTGTCTTCCCTAGTCAAAGCCCAGAGATACAAAAAACTATATACAACAGAGGCAAAACAGATCATACAAAAAAACAGATACTCACTTGTCTTCCCTAGTCAAAGCCCAGAGATACATAAGGAAGGAGATGCAACCGATAATACAGACAGTAATCGCGAGACCAAGTGAATTTGCTAATGTAACATACACACCAGTTACAAATGCAATTACAACTGCTAACATTGCCAAAAGCTGCAACACAATTGCGGCATTATAATACCGTAACATATATTCGTACGTACGTAGTCTTGTACCTTCCTCTGCCATGAGGAAGTAGATGAATATAGCACCAGCTGAGCATGTGAAGGCGATGGCATCTGAAACAGCAAATGCACGGAATGCTGCTTTCTTTATTAGAATCGCCATCCCTTTATTAGGGCCGGCGTCACTGTCAAAACCTCCTGGCAATGTGAAACCAGCCGCGAAAGCAGCTGTCATTATTAGAGTGGCCACTACTAGATGCATTTCAGTTGTCTTCATAAGTCACGTCTTCCGTATACTTGGCCAATGCTACGCAAACTTTCCACCAATTTCCCCTATTTTCATCTGTAATAGAGTTCATATATAATATAGTCGAAGAATTTAACATGTTATAACTTGTTTAGCTGAGAACTTTGCTGATAGATTAGGGGACAATGATATCATGTAAAATTAAGTTCAGCCGAAGATAGGGCAAGAAATAAATTGCAGTTTTACTTGTAATCCTCTAATAGTTTATCTTGATTATATGCAAAAAGTTTTCAAAGTAAATAATTTCAGTAGTTACTAAAAAATATTTGCAGGTGCTTACCTTATTTGTTGACTCTGTGCAAACAAGTGCTAGGTCGAGAGGAGTCTGGTTTTCTTTGTTAACTGACATCTTCGTTACTTTGGGATGTTTTATTAATTCAGGCACATAGTTCCCAGAGGCAGCAACCAAATGGAGAGGAGTGTTGCCATCATTATCTGCCTCATTAACAAGGCTATCCCACTTTCCAGAATCTAAAAAGTATTTTACTACCTCTTCTTGTTTGTTCAGTATGGAGATGTGAAGAACATTTTGGCCGCAGCTGTTAAGCGTTTCCCAGCAATCTGGACAGTGTTTTAATAGCTCATTTATCATGTTTATATCACCTTCAGTGGCTGCAATATGAATTCCAACCCCATTTGTCAGCTACCTCGCATAACAATTTATTCCATTGCCATAGTAATTTCGCGCACTCTGGATGTTTCAAATATATATGATGATAAGGGGTTAATTTGTATACATGCACTCATCATGAGATCTTTATACCTAGTCGCATAACATACTATGAGCCCGTTTGGACATAAGAAAATGTGCCTTCTTTTCAATTTTTTTTTTTTTTTTAAAATAGTATTTGGTTATCAAGATCTTACAATTTTTCCAATCTCACTTGAAAATGCATTTTCAAATTTGAAAAAAAAAAATACTGGTGAGAACCAGTTTTTCAATTGAAAATGGGAAGGTTGCCAGTTTTTAGTTGCAAAATACGTTAAAAAAAGATATCCAAATATGTTGCGAAAATTATAACCAAACACAACTTCATCTTCAATTCAAATTTTAGTGAAATTCCAACTTTGAATTTTTTTTTGGAATTCATGTCCAAACGCCTACTATATATAATTATGAAAGTGAAATGATACAACCTAGGGAGAACCACTCCCCAAAAGCTAGCTATTAAGGTGCAATACCGATGTGGGATGGACCATAACAAACCACGTGCACTACACATTCTAGCCCGCTAGCTATTAAGGTGGGAAAGTCCAAGGCTATATAAACCTCACATCAGCACCTTGCAGTACCGATGTGGGACTCAAGTCCCATACCTTGCAATGGACCATAACAAACCACGTGCGCCAGACATTCTAGCCCCGGGCGAACACTGCAATACCGGCGTCGCCATCCAAGGCATGGTGGGCATAGAGGGTGGTGAGTGGCTCTGATACCATTGATACAACCTTAGGAGAACCACACCCCAAAAGCTAGCTATTAAGGCTGGAGAGTCCAAGAGTATATAAACCCAACATCATCATATTGCAATATCGATGTGGGACTCAAGTCCCATATACCTTGCAATGAACTATAACATGAATCCATTCAAAAGCTCGTAGCTTCACATTATTAATTTATGTACCTGTGTGTTGCCGAATTATTGCTGCATGCAGAGGCGTTCGACTACATGGACCGTCATAAGTTGGTTTCTTGCAGGATTCCAAGATGGCACGCGAACACTCAACTAAACCTTTCTCCACCGCCAGATAAAGTGGTGTCTCCCCAGCATTATTCGCTGAAAGTTCGAATTCAGGATCTTCTTTCATTATGAATTTGACAACGCCGATAAGTCCACCCCTGGCGGCCATGTGCAGGGCTGTATCTCCATTTTCATCTATCATCCTTATCAATCTCTGCTTCTCTGCTCCGTCCATGCTATGTAGCACCCACGCCACATCAGCATGCCTTTCCTTAAGAGCTACGTGAAGTGCATGTTGGGTTTTTTTGTATTTAATATATTAAATACATAAAAGAGGGTGAATGGGAAATGGAGGGAAATAAAATTTTTGAGTGAAATTTTAAGTTTCCCCCTTGGTAAATGGACATTGTCCCATATTGGAAGAGGAAGAGGTTTTTTATGGGTATATAAGCAATTGCTCTTCTTCTAGCTCTTAAAGAGTTGAGAAGAAGGCAAGCCTCACGCCGTCGTCGTCGTCATCGTCATCTCGCTCGGCTCGGCTTCGGCTTCGGATTCGGAATTGAATGATTAACTTTTTGGACCAAATTTATTTGTTAATAATAAAATATTAACAGAAATGTTATTAAATATTTATTTTAATAACAGAATATTAATATTAAATATTAATATTAAATCCAATCCGTTTTTCTGTTTTGGTAACAGAAAATTAACTACCCTCTTCAATTTTTCCTCTTTATTTTCCCTCTTTATTGTTGAGTAAATGGCCATTTATGTAATGGCATTATGTTGTGGCCGTTTTGCATAAACAGCCATTCTGAAGAGTTGTACCTCTTCAGATTTCAGCCCAACTTTGGCTATAAATACAACACTATTCTGCTCAGAATTTCACTACGATTTTTTGAGTTTCTTCTCCTTCTTCTGCATACTTTTGGCATCAAACAAAGCAAAAGTAAGTGTGATTTGCTTTCGAACTTTGTGCTCGCTGAAACACTGGGGTTTGCAGTACCACTACACCAGTGTGTAATTCGTTCTATCCTGGGAGGAAATAATCCATAACCCTGTGTACTAGGAGGGGATTAAATTCCTTAAGGAAACACTGTGAATTCAGTGGGCTCGAATTGGTTTTCTGTCATTTCTGTTTATGTTCATTTCTGTTTATATTCATTTATATTTCCAGAATTATTTTACAAATACAGTATACTAACAAGCTTAAGGAATTTAACGTATTTTCTGTATTTGTACTCACTGTTTCTGAAGAGTAAAACCTTTGTGGTTTTGTACTCTATTAAAATCTGCATGATTTTAACGTTTGTGTCTCTCTTTTTAACAGAAATGTCTAATGATCATGTGAACCAAGTTGTTCCAATGGTGACTGCCAATGCCTCAACGAGCCGAACGACACCGGCAACATTGGCACCGGCGGAGAAACCCGGAAAATTTTCCGGGATTGATTTCAAGCGCTGGCAGCAAAAGATGTTCTTCTATTTGATTACTCTAAGTCTCCAGAAGTTCATCAAGGAAGATGTTCCTGTGTTGTCCGATGAAACTCCAGAAACTGAATGCTTTCTCGTGATTGAGGCGTGGAAGCATTCAGATTTTTTGTGCAAGAATTATATTCTAAGCGAGCTGGAGGATGCTTTGTATAACGTCTACAGTGGCGTGGAAACGTCAAAGGAATTGTGAACCGAAATACAACCCAAGAAAGAAGCGGTTCAGTGGAAACTGCTATAACTGTGGAAAAACCAAACACAAATCTACGGAGTGTCGTGCTCCGAAGAAGACAAGAAGAAGGGTCAAGCAACATGGTTGAAAAGCNGTTTTGGTAAACAGAAAACGTACTACCCTCTTCTAATTTTCCCTCTTTAGTTGTTGAGTAAATGGCCATTTATGTAATGGCATTTATGCTGTGGGCGTTTTGCATAAACAGCCATTCTGAAGAGTTGCACCTCTTCAGATTTCAGACCCAACTTTGGCTATAAATACAACACTATTCTGCTCAGAATTTTAACTACAATTTTCTGAGTTTCCTCTCCTTCTTCTGCATACTTTTAGCATCAAACAAAGCAACAGTAAGTGTGATTTGCTACCGAACTTTGTGTTTGCTGAAACAGTAGGGTTTGAAGTACCACTACACCAGTGTGTAATTCGTTCTATCCTGGGAGGAAATAATCCATAACCTTGGGTACTAGGAGGGGATTAAATTCCTTAAGGAAACACTGTGAATTCAGTGGGCTCGAATTGGTTTTCTGTCATTTCTGTTTATGTTCATTTCTGTTTATATTCATTTATATTTCCAGAATTATTTTACAAATACAGTATACTAACAAGCTTAAGGAATTTAATATATTTTCTGTATTTGTACTCACTGTTTCTGGAGAGTAAAACCTTTGTGGTTTTGTACTCTATTAAAATCTACGTGATTTTAACGTTTGTGTCATTCTTTTACAGAAATGACTAATGAGAATGAGAACCAAGCTGTTCCAATGGTGACTGCCAATGCCTCAATAAGCGACGACCGGCGGCAACATTGGCACCGGTGAAGAAACCCTGAAAATTTTTCGGGATTGATTTCAAGCGCTGGCAGCAAAAGATGTTCTTCTATTTGACTACCTAAGTCTCCAGAAGTTCATCAAGGAAGATGTTCCTGTGCTGTCCGATGAAACTCCAGAAACTGAACGCTTTCTTGTGATTGAGGCATGGAAGCATTCAGATTTTTTGTTCAAGAATTATATTCTAAGCGGGCTGGAGGATGCTTTGTATAATGTCTATAGTGGCGTGGAAACGTCAAAGGAACTGTGACTGCGCTTGAAAAGAAATACAAAACCGAAGATGCCGGGTTGAAAAAGTTTGTTGCTGCAAAGTTTTTGGACTACAAAATGGTAGATAGCAAGTCTGTTATTACCCAAGTCCAGGAATTGCAAGTGATTATTCACGATCTCCTTGCTGAAGGTATAAATCAAATTAATATTGATGTTGAAAGTAGTAATCTTAGTATTTTTACTAACAGAAATTTCATTGAAGGTCTTGTCATCAATGAAGCATTTCAAGTAGCAGCGATGATTGAGAAGTTGCCTCCTTTGTGGAAGGACTTCAAAAATTACTTGAAACACAAACGCAAGGAGATGTCCCTTGAAGATCTCATTGTTCGGTTGAGAATCGAAGAGGACAACAAAGCTTCTGAAAAGAGAGGCCATGGAAGCTCAACAATAATGGGAGCAAATATTGTTGAAGAGAACAAAAAGAGGAAGAAGGCTTCTGGACCGAAATACAACCCAAGCAAGAAGCGGTTCAGTGGAAACTGCTACAACTGTGGAAAAACCGAACACAAATCTACGGAGTGTCGTGCTCCGAAGAAGGACAAGTAGAAGGGTCAAGCAAACATGGTTGAAAAGCATGATGATGTTGATGACTTATGTGTCATGCTTTCCGAATGCAACTTGGTAAGCAATCCTAAAGAGTGGTGGATAGATTCTGGAGCCACTCGCCATGTTTGTGCTGTTAGAGAAGCTTTTGCTACTTATGCTCCTGTTGGATCCGATAAGACGATTTCTATGGGAAATGCTTCAAAGGCCAAGATTGAAGGATGTGGGAAGATATTTCTCAAAATGACTTCCGGCAAAGTGGTGACTTTGAACAACGTCCTTCATGTTCTCGAGATTAGGAAGAATTTAGTCTCTACTGGACTTCTTGTTAAGAATGGTTTTAAATGTGTTTTTGTTTTCGATAAGGTTGTAATAAGTAAGAATGAAATGTTTGTAGGAAAAGGTTACCTCACTGAGGGCCTTTTCAAGCTACATGTAATGGTTGTTGAAAATAATAATAAAATTTCAGCTTCGTCTTACTTACTTGAGTCAAATGAATTATGGCATATACATTTGGGTCATGTCAATTATAAAACCTTACGGAAAATGATTAATTTGGAAGTATTGCCCAAGTTTGAATGTAACAAATCAAAATGTCAAGTATGTGTGGAATCTAAGTATGATCAACATCCTTATAAGTCAGTTGAAAGGAATTCAAATCCTTTAGACTTAATTCACACAGATATTTGTGACATGAAGTCAATACCATCTCGCGGTGAAAAGAAGTATTTCATAACTTTTATTGACGATAGTACTCGATATTGCTATGTTTACTTACTTAATAGTAAAGATGAAGCAATAGACGCATTCAAGCAATACAAAAATGAAGTTGAAACGCAACTTAACAAGAAAATCAAAATGATAAGAAGTGATAGGAGTGGTGAATATGAATCTCCTTTTGAACAAATATGTTTAGAATATGGAATTATTCATCAAACAACGGCCCCTTACACGCCCCAATCCAATGGGATTGCAGAAAGAAAGAATCGTTCATTAAAGGAGATGATGAACGCATTATTGATAAGTTCTGGTTTGCCACAGAACTTGTGGGTGGAAGCCATTCTTACGGCTAGCCGAATACTAAATCGAGTACCCCATAGCAAAACACAATCCATTCCATATGAAAAATGGAAAGGAGGAAGCCCAACTTGAATTATAAGTGTGGGGGTGTTTGGCAAAAGTGCAAGTTCCTAAACCCAAAAGGGTAAAAATAGGACCGAAAATCGTTGATTGTGTTTTCATAGGATATGCGACTAATAGTAAAGCATATCGATTTCTGGTTCATAAATCAGAAAATCCTGACATTCATAATAATATGGTTATAGAATCAGATAATGCTGAGTTCTTTGAAAATATATATCCGTATAAAAAGGAATGTGAGTTGATTGGTGAAGGATATAAACAACCTCGGGAAGAAACAAAAGAAAGTACACTTAACCAGGAGGATCCAAGACGTAGTAAACGTCAAAGAACGTCTACTTCATTTGGACCGGATTTTGTGACTTTCTTTGTGGAAAATGAGCCTCAAACATTTAAAGAAGCTATGTCTTCTTCGGAATCACTGTTATGGAAAGAGGCAGTCAATAGTGAAATAGAATCCATATTGAACAACCATACATGGGAATTGGTTGATCTTCCTCCTAGAAATAAACCGTTGGGTTCTAAATGGATCTTTAAGAGGAAAATGAAAGATGATGGCACTATTGACAAATATAAGGCAAGACTTATGGTCAAAGGGTATAGACAACGAGAAGGTCTTGACTATTTTGATACATACTCTCCAGTTACAAGAATTACGTCCATACAAACGTTAGTAGCGTTAGCTACAGTTTATGGTCTTGAAATTCATCAAATGGATGTTAAGACGGCCTTC